GGCCTCCCCTCGCCCTGCCCTCCCTGCCCCCCTCATCCCAGTCGTGCCGGCCTGTTTCTTAAACTCAGCGGGCGCCTCCCACGTCAGCGCCTTCCGGCCGCGCCCCGCCCTGCGTCCGCGCCGCTCTCCCCCGGGTGACGGGCGGCTCGTTTCCTCGCGTGGATCGCTGCCTCGTCCGCGAGGCCGCCCGTGACCTCAGTGTCCGGGGTGGTGAAGTCCACCCCCGCACTCGCCACCCCTTCCCTGATTGGTCTCTCTTAGCACGCGGTGCCGTGGTTTTTCCTTTCCGATTTTGTCCGAACCCCCGCTCGCGCTGCTAGACCGCGTGCTCCCTGAGCTGGGGGCGTTCGTCTGTTCCCCCCGGAAGCCGCAACACCGCGGTGGTGCCTGACTGGTCCGAGGCGTCCGCTCAGGTCTGTCTCACGGCTGGACACGTGAGCCTTAGTTTGGAATGGAAGATTCTTGGGTGTCAGCCGGGATGCGGGCCTCCGCTGTCTCATTCGCCGGGTTGATGTCACGGGTGGTCATGCCGAGACGCTAGTGTGAGCGCTCCGATCTGTTAGCCAACCGCGGGATTTATTCTGACTGACTTTCTTTTTATGGCTGTGATTCGTCCAAGGTAGGGTTGAAATTGTGTACCATCGTATCTGTTAGTACTTCTGATTTTTTTTCTTGTTTAGTGCCTCGTTAAGCACCAATGTGATTTTTTAATTTACAGAAAGAACAGTGAATAATTTGCTAATGTGGTGTATAGATTAGCATAAATAAGGCTTAGTTTAAGATGATGATTTAAGTGGTCAGAGGGGACATCTTTAAAACTACCTTTGTGGAGCGCCTGGGTGGCTCAGTCAGTTAAGCTTCCGACTTGGGCTCAGGTGGTAATCTCCCGGTTTGTGAGTTCGAGCCCTGCGTCGGGCTCTGTGCCGACAGCTCGGAACCCGGAGCCTGCTTCGGATTCTGTGTCTCCCTCTCTCTGTACCTCCCCTGCTCATGCTCTGTCTCTCAAAAATAAATAAACTTTAAAGGTTTAAAACTATCTTTGTAACCAAAAGCCAGTTTTAAAACAAAAATAATTTGGTAATTTAAAAGTAAGATCAGGGGCGTCTGGGGGGCCCAGTGGGTTGAGCTTCCAGCTTCAGCTCAGGTCATATTATCACGGCTTGTGACTTCGAGCCCCACGTCAGGCCCTGTGCTGACAGTTCAGAGCCCGGAACCTGATTCTGATTCTGTGTCTCCTTCTCTCCCCCCCTCCCCCACTTGTGCTCTCTCTCTGTCTCTCAAAAATAAATAAATGTAAAAAAAAAATTTTTTTTAAGTAAGATCAAAGCACAGTCTAGAGTTGCTGGTTTATGTAGCCAGCTATCTATTTTTTCTGCTTTGAAGTGCATGTGTAAAACATTTTGTGCTACATGCCTAACTCAGAGGGTTTATTATACTTTTAACTTGTTTACTAAAATATGCTCTGACACCTTTGTTGATATTGATATTAAAAATATTGTACCTTTGAAGGTCAAATGTATCCTATTTCTAAAATATCTCTGCAGTGCATTTTTAGGTCCCAAAGACCTTTTTCCATATAAGGAATACAAAGACAAGTTTGGAAAGTCAAACAAACGGAAAGGATTTAATGAAGGATTGTGGGAAATAGAGAATAACCCAGGAGTGAAGTTCACTGGATACCAGGTAATGCTTTGCTTCGTTGTTAGATCTCATTTCTTTGGTTTTAACTCTCTTTGGGGTCTTTGTTATATGTCCTCTTATACTAGTAGTTACTCTCCATCTATTTGAAATCAGAATTTAGCTCCGGTAATATTTTGGATTAAATGCAATTCTGTTACTCAAGGGGGTTCAAGTCAAGTGGTCACTGGAAAATTGAGGTTGACAGTTCTTTATTTTGCAATCTTAAGAGTAAGCTGAACCCTTTTAGATTAAAATAGAATGTTTTTTTCACAGTGTCCGTGAAAATTTTTCAAAAATGTAATTAGCCAATACCTTGTTATTTCGTAGGCAATTCAGCAACAGAGCTCCTCGGAAACGGAGGGAGAAGGTGGAAATACTGCAGATGCGAGCAGTGAGGAGGAAGGGGATAGAGTGGAAGAGGATGGAAAAGGCAAAAGAAAGAATGAAAAAGCGGGCTCTAAACGGAAAAAGTCCTACACTTCAAAGGTGCCTGAGAACCGTTTCCATTGTTATTAATGTTATATGCACATTCATTAGATGATCTTTAATTCCTCCATTGGGCACATAGAAATATACTAGCTCTGTGGAGCCTCTGCCTCTAGGGACAGTAATACAGCCAAGGGGATAGGACAGGTGACCTTACACGTGAGGGCAGCTGGCTGTGGACCCTTCAAGGCCGACCTGGCACTGAAAATACTGCCGCTCAGTTGGAGAAGGTCTGTTCTTCAGCCAAGGGGACAAGAGCAGGTGTGCCTCCTACAGTCACCTCCAAATGAGCTCTGAAGACTTTAGGAATATAGGAGACTCAGTACGATTGAGGACAAGTCTAGGTAAATATAAAGATACACCCTTAATCTGTCTTTCTGCTCTAAGGAATGTACACACAATACATATAAATGAAGAGAGGACTCTGAAGGAAACAAGTGGTAGGAGAACATTCTTTAGATAGAGGGCGAGGCCTTTCTGAAGAGAAGAGGCAGAGTTCATACTGAGGCCCGAAGAAAGAGCTGGGGGTGGGGGAAGGGGGCGTGTGTGACAGAGCAGCCCAGATGTGACGCAGGAAGAGCCTGGCCTGGCCTGAATTAGAAGACCAGCGTGGTTGGGGGTCATGACCGAGAGGGAGAGGCAGGCAAAGGCTCAGTCACGGAGACTTGTGCGCCACCTGAAGGAATTTGGATTTATTCCCAGTGTGACGGTAATAGGAGTGACGTGATCCTAGATTTACAAATTGAAAGTCTAGGTTTTTCACAGTAATCCAGACATACAGTTGAACAAACTATGACATTGTAAAAACTGTTCACCTTTAGAAACTGGAAGTAAGATAGATCTTTGAAAACCAGAGATTGGCACAAGTTTCACTATAACTGGCCTGTGACACGATTGAATAAATTACTTCCATTTAGATTCTGGTATTTAGTAGCTGGACACCAGACTTGGGAAACTCCTTAAGAACCAAGTCCCAAGACTTTATTCGATGATCAGCATTTTCTTTTACAATCTGTAAAGTCTACCCCACAGGCATACAGGTAAAAACGTATGAATACATATTACTTTGCACCTAACGAAAAACATGGTGTTTGCTTTGGATGGGGATACAGTTTGCAAATCACAAAAAAATAATTAGAATTTTCCTTGTCAGACCGTACCTTCCATTGCATTTTTAAGCTGAGTTTTTTTTTAGCATTTTGAATTTCACTTAAACACCCAATCGAATTGGTTTTTTTAAATTTATGATTGCCTGCTGAGCTGTGCAGTGTATTGTACCACCCTCCATTATCTAAGCTACCTGACGTAGTAGCAGCGTTTAATAGTGTGGATATGGGGCTTTTGAGTGTCATTATTTTATTGCTTGTTGTGGTGCCCAGAAGTAATGGGGCTCATACCTAGTGCGGGTAGGTGATTTAAAGCAGTGAAGGGGTAAAGACATACTTTACATACTGCGGTTTCTCTGTGTTCAATTAAGGGATCATCTTTTTTTGCTTTTCCTTCCAGATCACAACTTTCACAAGCACTTAAGAACCGTGACTTTCTTTTCACTTTTTACTGTTTTATTTATTGTCAAAAGAATTATGCACAAACACAAAGACTTTGGAAGAACATAAATGGTTTTTCATTTTCAGTATTAACTGAGAACCTAGCACAGTGGTTCTCAAACTTCCACCTGCTTCAGAACCATGTGGAGGGCTTGTGAAAGCACACACTGCCCAGCCTCACCCCCTGAATTTCTGTTTCAGTAGGTCTTGGGTGTGGGGTCTGAGAATTAAAGTTTTAGGTCAGGCTGATGGCTCTGATCTGGGAACCACATTTAGAGAAGTGCTTACCTGACGTAACCTCCTTGTTGTCCTTGACTTCCCAAATGTTTCCTTTTTTCCGAATATGGTGATCTTTTCTTACCCCTGTTTCTTAAAGTTGAATAATCTTCCTTTGCCACTGAAAAGCAGTGCTTCACAGTGAAAAGCAGATTTGAACATAATTGAAGATTTATGTGTATCTCTTTGGCAGTAAGTATGTGGATGATTCATATATGAGCCATCACAGATCCTGGAAAATTATAGGTCAAAATATTTTGCATGCACATTACTGCATAAAGTAGGGCAAATCAGAGAGCCTCACAGCAGAGTAAACTGATGATGGTGCTAAACTACCAGTAATCTTAAGTTAAAAAACCAAAGGTGGCAACAGTTGGACACAACCAATTCAGGAGCACAGTGATGAAACAGATAAAGGGTCCCTCCCCACAATTACAGGAATTGCCCTGATCTGAATTTGCAGCACAGTAAGAGCTTTTCAGGGTTACCAAATACAGCCTGGGGGCCAGGTTTCTTAGAATGCTGACTGTGGCTCGACAGCAAAACTTGAGGAAAGGCCTGATTCTGGTCTGTGTAATGCCAAATTATAAGGCGTATAAATTCACTCGTGGGGTTACTCATAAGTATCCTTTGTAAGCATTAGAAATTTTAGGGAGTTGTGAATGATTACCTCTAAGAACTGTAGGTCAGAGATTATTATTTGAGAATTATTATTTGAGTTACTCTATTTCGATAGTTATACTGTATTTACTAGGAAAACAAAAAATATTCTGCTTTTTATGTTGTCCTACTTGATCTTAGCTTTAACGGTAGACACTCCACGTTTGGATTATTAAATCTCTGCTTTTCCTTCGTGTGAAAAGTAAAGATGACCTCATTTTAAGCTGACATTTCGGGCTTAGTTGGTAGTTTCAGTTAAGTAAAACAGAAGCAATGTAATTATGTGCTCTATCACAGAGCTAGGAGATACTTTCTCTTTGGGAGTTGTATTTAAAATATTGATTGTCTAAGGAATCTCCAATTTGCTAATTCATTTCTGGAAGACCAAAGGTGACTTGGCCAAACCGGTTTTGCCTCAGCTCTTATTTGCCAGGTGCTTAAAGACTCTTAAAAGTCCTCAAAAAGGACATGTTAGTGAAATGCTACATTTTACTTTCTTAAAGATGCACAGTGGGGCCAGCTTTTGATCCTTTTAATGCTATTCTGCAAAGCAGCTTTGGCTATAAACTATAATTGTATTTTCGTTTTCCTTAAGCTCATCTTGATTTCAAATGCATGGTGATAAAAAAGCAGGGGGGGGGGGGCTAGTTCCCTTGGGTTCTTAAATAACTGTCTGCAGTTTAAAAGAGTAAAGTAGTTTATATTACGTGGATCCTATCAACCAAACAGCTTCAGCAGATTTCTTAACATGAATACTCCTATATCATGTGAGATAGTCCACCTCACTCTGTGGACCTGAGTTTCTACTGTAAAACGACGACGAAGGACAGGACGGCCTTACGGTGCTTTCTCACTCTTAGCTCCTAAGGTGGTGTCCATCCAGCTACTGTTTATTCACGAATACTGTCCTGGGTACACGAACCTTTATGTACTGCTTTTAACATGGCACCGCTGGAAAGGACTAACAGGTCATGTAGTTCACCTCTACCTCCTTCTCCAGCTTGTTACCCTGAGGCCCAGCGAGGCGAAACGATTCACCCGGGCCACCTCGCCCAGCCTCGGCACGCCGCCTGGTTGCACTCGTATATCCGGTGGCGGGGCCACAAAGACTGGCCGTGGGTCAGCCACTTCGGCAGCTCTTACTTGCCCTTGTGCGTCAGGATTTGTCCCTTTGACTCTAACTTCTAACTTGTCCAAACGTTTAGAAATCCTCTAAACAGTCCCGGAAGTCTCCAGGAGATGAAGATGACAAGGACTGCAAAGAAGAGGAGAACAAAAGCAGCTCCGAGGGTGGAGACGCCGGCAACGACACAAGAAACACAACTTCAGACTTGCAGAAAACCAGTGAAGGGGTAAGGACGGCGTGTAACCTCCCTGCCCTTCTAACCTAGAAGATGCTAGAGATCAGCAGTGCTTCACAGTCACTGGTAAACACTGTCCTAGTAGATGGAGAAAGATTCTCAGCCTGATACGTGGATGTGCACGCAGCTCCTGGATGAATGATTAGCTGCATAGAGTCTGAGAACAAGAGAGAGCCAGGTGGGAAGTGCACCTGCCTGTCAGTGTGGAACTCTGTGAACAGTTCATTCTTTTTTAAACTAACTTGAGCAGCTTGAGTCTTTTCTTTTCTTTTCTTTTTAGTGTTTATTGACTTACTTTGGGGGAGAGAGAGAGAACAGTTGTGCACAAGCAGGGGAGGGGCAGAGAGAGAATCCCAAGCAGGTTCTGCCACTGTCAGCGCAGAGCCCGACCTGGGGCTTGATCTCATGACTGTGAGATCATAACCTGAGCCAAAATCAAGAGCCAGGCACTTAACCGACTGAGCCACCCAGGTGTCCCAACTGGGAGTCTTTTAAAAAGTAAGATGTGAAATACTGAAATTATGAAATGCCATCTCAGAATTTTACAGTTAGATTTATTTTATTATAAGATGAATGGCATGTCCAAAATAGGAGACTTCATGCCGCTGTTTCTTTCCTAAAAGCAGTTTGTTTGTACTTTAATATACCCACAGGGCTTTAAGTATTTAAGGATTCAAACAACACCTGAACATTGGTATTTAAAGTACCGAAGGGGAAGACTTGTCCACTTTGAATTTTTGTTAACTCTTTTTTAAAGTATAGTTGCCATAGAATATTGTGTTCGTTCCAGGTGTACAACAGTGAGTCCACATGTGTAGGCACTACTGAGTGTTCGCTGTGATGGGCCTGGGTACTGTCTGTCATCAGACAAAGTTGCTACCATATTCCTGACTCTCTTCCCTGTGCTGTACTTTATACCCTCGTGACTTACTTGTGTTACAACTGGGAGTTTGTACATCTTAGTCCCCTTCTCCTGTGTCACCCGTTTCACCCACTCCTCAGCCCCTCCGCCTGGTGGTAGACAAAGTGTGCCTCCTGTATCTGGGACTCTGTTTTGTTATGTTTGTTTGTTTGTTTTGTTTTTTTAGATTCCACGTAAGTGACATCATATGGCATTTGTCTTTCTCTTTCTGGCGTATCTCACTTAGCGTAATATACTCTAGGTCCATCCATGATGTCACCAGTGGCAAGCTTTCATTCTTTTTTATGCCTGCATAATATTCGTGTGTCTGTGTGTGTGTGTGTGTGTCCACGTACACACCATATCTTTGTCCGTTCATCTGTCAGTGGACACTTGGGTTGTTTCCATATCTTGGCTATTGTCAGTAATGCTTCAGTTAACATAAGGTTGCATGTTTCTCTTTAAAGTGCTGCTTTCATTTTCTTCGGATAAATACCCAGAAGTGGAATTACTGGTAAACCTGACTTTTTGAAGAACCTCCATACTGTTTTTCAGAGCGGCCGCACCAGTTTACCTTCCCACCAACCGTGCACGAGGGTTCCCTTTTTTCCACATCTTGCAACACTGGTTACTTCTTACCTTTTTGATTCTAGCCGCTTCGGACAGGTGTGAGGTGGTTGCTCGTTGTGGTTCTGATTGGCATTTCCCTGACGATGAGTGGTGCTGAGCATCTCTTCACGGGACTGTTGGCCGTCTGCGTGTCTTCCGTCCTAATTTCCGTTAACCTGTTAGGTGGCAGGCAAGTCCGCCTTCGTAAAAGTGTTATTAGCAAAGGCACATTTTGCCCCTGGTCCTCTTCCGTTAGTCTTTTCTCTTTCAAGACTAATTGGACAGCGGCAAATCACTTTGAAACAATAATCCACAAAATACATTCTGATTGTTCTTCTGTTAGATTCTGGTTTCAGCCGAGTTCTCGACTATTCTTGTCAGTACTGTTTACCTCTCAAGTCCTCCTTCATCCAGTTTTCCAAAATTACTCCCCGGTTACGATTCTAACGGCTCCCTTATCCCTCTTAGCCACTCAGCTTTACTCCTGCCTCTGAGGATCTTTCTTCTTTTCACCTCTTCAGTAGAGAGTCCTCTGTCATCACCTTTGCCAGCAGCCCTCCTGGGAACCATCCCTAACAGTCACCGAGGGCCTGAGTACCTGACTCTTGATTTTCTTTTTATCTCACTTGCCATCCCCACCCCAGGTGGCTTCAGTATGCATACAGCAAACCCCGCACAACTTGTCTCTCCCGTGACCAAACTCACTTCTGGCTGCCCTTCCTGTGACAGAGGTAAAGATGGCTTACACCTATACCACTCAGACTGTGATCTATGGACAGATCGCATCAACAGCACCCGGCAGCTTGTTAGAAATGCAGAAGCCCAGGCCCACACCCAGGCCTTCTGAGTCAGAATCTGTTTTAACCAATTCCCCAGGTCATTTATATGCACATTAAAGTCTGAGAGGCATTAATCTGCACCTTTCTGTTACCAGGCTCCAGAGTGTCGTCTCCTCGTCCTTCCTCCAAGGCCAACCCAGTCATCCTGTACCTTTCTCTTCTTTCTCCTGCCTAGAAACAGTATCAGGCCTCCCTTAACCTCAAACATACCTGCCTTTCCCCACATACCCTGTTCTTTTCACTTTTCTCTTCATCTCTGAACTTCCTAAAGGAGTTCTCCTTCCTCCCAGCATCCACTTCCTCACCTGCACACACCCGCCTTACTCCATTACACTCGAGGTGCTTCTTCACCGTTTCAGTGCGACTGCCCTTGTAGAGGTCCATGCCGATCGTCTCCCTGCCAGGTCCAGGGTCTTTTTTAGTCTTTATTTTACCTCTGCAGCATTTAGTGCCGTTACCCCTTTCTCCTCCGGACTTTGCTTCCAGGCCACCTACTGCTTCCACAACAGCTCTTCTCAGTCCCTCTGCAGAGCTCCTTCCTGGCACGCTACTCTTCTGAAAGCTTCCCCGCGTCCATCTTCTCCACTCTCGTGGTTTCAGCTGTTTTCAATATATTACTGATCACGTCCCACTGTACCTCCTGCATCGTAGATCCATTTTTCTAACCATTTATGAAACCCATTTCTACTTGAACATCTTGAAAGCACTTCTGGAAACACTTGCCATTAGCAGTAGCGACAGCAGCAGAGTCAGAGTCGTAATGGCTCACAGTTTACTCTGTGCCACAGATTGTGCTAAATGCTATCTATGCATTGTCTCATTTAATCCCCACACAAATCCCAGGATGTAGGTGGAGGTCTTATCCGTTGTGTACCTGGGGAAACTGAGGCTGGAAAGATTGGCCCAGGGTCACATAGCTGGTAAGAGCCTGAATGTAGAACAAGAGCCTGAGATCCATTCATTTTTTCATTCGTTCGTTTAAATTGAAGTGCAGTTGACACACAATATTACACTCGTTTCAGGTGCACAACGTAGTGATTTGACAAGGCTGCCTTATGCTGTGCTCACCACACAGTGCTGTCACAGTGTCATTGACTGTTCCCTGTCCTGTACCGTGTCCCATGACTCACTCCATAACTGGAGGCCTGTATCTCCCACTCCCCTTCACTCATTTTGCCCCTCCCCTGACCCTCCTCCCTGGCAACCTTCAGTTTGTTCTCTGTATTTATGGGTCTGGTTCTGTTTTTTAGATTCCACATGTAAGCGAAATCACGATATTTGTCTTTCTTTGACTTATTGCACTTAGTACAATACATCCTAGTTCCATCCACATTGTCGCAAATGGCAAAATCTCTTTTTATGGCTGCGTGATACCCCATTGTATATATACACCACCTGTGTCCATCCATCTGTCGGTAGACACTTGGTTTGCTTCCATAACTTGGCTGTTAGAAATAATGCTGCAATATAGACAAGAGTGCATATGTCTTTTTGAATTAGTGGTTTCATTTTCTTTGCTAGTGGAATTATTGCATCATACAGTTTTTCTACTTTTAATTTTTTGAGGAACCTCCATACTGTTTTCCACAGTGGCTGCACCAATTTACATTCCCACCAACAGTGCGCAAAGGTTCCTTTTTCTCCACAACCACACCAACACTTCCTGTTCTTGTTCTTTTGATATTAGTCATTGTAACTAGTGTCACATGATCTCATTTTGGTTTGCTTGCATTTCTCTGATGACTACTGATGTTGAACCTTTTTTCATGTGTCTGTTATCCATCTGGCTGGATGTCTTCTTTGGAAAAATGTCTATTCAGGTCCTCTGTCCATTTTTTAATAGGAGCTATTTTTTTGGTTTCGAGTTGTATGAGATAGAAAGATAGATAGATAATTATATATGAGATATATAGATATATATGATATTAACCCCTTATCAGATGTATCGTTTGCAGATATCTTCTCCCATTCCGTAGGTTGCCTTTTCATTTTGTTGAACAAAAGCTTTTTATTTTGGTCTAGTCTCAATAGTTTATTTTTCCTTTTGTTTCCTTTGCCTGAGGAGACACATCTAGAAAAATGTTGCTACACCTGATGTCCAAGAGGTGACTGCCTGTGTTTTCCTTTAGGAGTTTCATGGCTTCCTGTCTCACATTTAGGTCTTTAATCGCCTTTGGGTTTATTTTTGTGTATGCTCTAAGAAAGTGGTCCAGTTTCATTCTTTTGAAGGTAGCTGTTCAGTTTTCCCAGCAACCTTTATTGAGACTGTCTTTTCCCTATTGTATATTCTTGCCTCCTTTGTCAAAGATTAATTGACCACATAACTATGGGTTTATTTCTGGGCTATCTGTTCTGTTCCATTGATATACGTATCTGGTTTTGTGCCGGTACCATACACTTTGATTAACGTAGCTTTGTAGTATATCTTGCAAGTCTGGGATTGTGGTGCCTCCAGCTTTGTTCTTTCTTAAGATTGCTTTGGCTGTTTGGGGTCTTTTGTGGTTCCATACAAATTTTAGTATTTATTTGTTCTAGTTCTCTAAAAAATGCTTTGGTATTTGAGTAGGGATTGCATTGAATCTGTGGATTGCTCTGGGTAGTGTGGACATTTAAAAAAAATTTTTTTTTAATGTTTATTTTGG